CACATATATATGTATATATACACACACACATATATATATATATTTATATGTGTGTGTGTGTGTGTGTGTATATAATTTATTTTTCATTTGTACTCCATTGGCACATCCAGAAACAATTACAGCAGAAATTTTGATAAAGTTAAAACAATGCTAGTTAAAATCCACATCACTTTTTCCCCCTATTTTTAAACAATACCATTAAAGCTAGCCTTTTAAAGTCATACTGGAGCATTTATTCACAGATATTTCACCTCTTTAAATTATTTTGTTTTGATTTGATTACTAAATAGAGCACACATACATACACAAAAATGATCAAACAGTTCTCTATTTATAGTTTACAGCTTCAAACTAAAAGCCAAGGATTTTGTGAATAATAATAATAATAAAGTTATATCTAACATATTGCTATCACTCCTATCAGTTGTGGTTTTGCTGTTGTCCTCATTAATGTAAAACAGAAAAAAAATCATCTCATTTCACTTCTGGGTCAATTTTCTGTGAAACATGTTTTTTTATTTCATTGACAAACAGAGTCGTCAGAAACATTTTATTACCATTTTTCAAAGAGAGGGCGCGTTGCATTTGTTAGAATGGTAATTATCATCATTGCTGTTTGTTGGTTATCTAGTGCAGCTTAAATGTCTTATTTTTTTTTTCTTCAGATGAAATGACCTGTAACCAGCTCAAGTTGTGGTTTTAGGCTTTTTAAAGCATTCTGCTGTGTCTAAGTTGCACAAGTTCAAAAAAATATATATTTATGTATAAAAATTTAGTCCTCTTAACTCTTTACTAAACTCTTTTGTTTGCTTGAGATACAAAAAAGTAGTTCACCCAAGCAGTGTAACAAATGCCACCTCCATGGCAGATGGAAACAGTCCCCATGGCGATTTAACCTTTGACCTTTAGCCTCTATTACCTGACGTGGGGGTCATTGGCGCTCCTGGGAGGCCATTGATGGTGGCCATGTGCTGCATCTGGGCTGCAGCAAAAGCTGCCATGGGACTGAGGTAGCCCCCTTGGCCCACAGACGCCATCAGCGCTGCCTGCTGCTGCACCTGCAGACCGAGAGGGAGAGCGGATTAGAGGGAGTGTGGAGTAATAAAAGGAAAGCCGTTGTCCGTGAGGTCACTGAGTTGAAGAAGACAGATAAAAGGAGGAAGCTGGGCTACAAAGTGAAATGAGGTACAGCTCAGAGACGAGAAATAGAGGCTATTAGATAGAAACCAGGTATTGACTCTTAGAAAATGTCTATTCTTCCACTTTTTTCAGATTAACTTAAAAAAAATCAACCTTCTCTTCTTTGGTTCTAGTACTATACTTGCAGCCGTGCACGTCACACTGCCATACAAGTCACATCAGTCCAGATATGTCTAATAAAGTGGGAAAAACACAAATATGTCGCTTCGCCGTATAAGTCACATCTATTATGCGTCACCGCTGACAACCTGGAAACGTGGGCCGGTGTTGTGCCAAAAATCGATTGGCTGCCAAATGGCGACCACGGAAGTGTGTACGGGAGGACTTTAACAAGAATTTAATAAGATTAACACTTAAAAACAATTATTTGTTTGCTCAGAATTATAGCAAAGGTGTGTCTCAGTTGAACTTTTCCTTAATAAATGCACTTGATTGGTCAAATCAGCTGCATTTCACCTGGGCGGTGCGGCAAAATGCAGCTGATTTGACGTTTGCTCCAGGAGTTCCAGAGCGAGACGAAGGCGGCCTGTATGGCAAGCCAAGTCTCTCATTAATAGCCACTTTTACCTGTTAATGAGACACTTGGCTTGCCATATTACCCGAGGACTCTCTAGTGGCTGAAAATGGAAGTGTTCATTATTTTCCATGTCAGAATGAATGAAATCATCAGATCTCAGACAAAAATTTGGTTATAAATGTGGAGAAAAAAACATAAATAAGTCAAGTCACTGTATAAGTTGCAGGGCATGCTAATTTATGCAAAAAGGTGCGACTTATACAGTGAAAAATACAAAAACTATTTAGGCTTTAGCACTATTTAATCTGAATGTCTCATTGCAGAAATAACTACAAGACAAAACAAACAAACAAACAAAAATAAACCCTACAAAAACATTTTGTGGCTCTTGCCTGAGCGTAGGCTCCGTAGGCTCCAAACTGCAGGGCCATAGGGTTGAAGATGCCCATCTGACCAGCCATCTGCTGCATGCGGCGAATGGTGCGCTCCTTATCCGTGTCAGCGAACTTTACCACCAGACTGGACGAGGCTCCCTGTTCGCCCGTACACACACACCCAGCAGCACATGTCAGCGTGCTTCCACAGACACATGGACACAAACGTGTATCACACACACATCCGCTCTTTATTATATTTCCTGCCAAGGCAATGGCCTCGAAGCGGTCGGTGCTCATTCCTCTGAAAAATTTGAAGATGGGTCACGTCTAAAGGAGAAATTTCTTCACGGCAAATAATAAAGTCTAACTCGGCTTTAAGAAGGCAATTAAACGCTCTTTGACTCATCTCGCCGTGCGACTCACCTCCCTCTCACACCTACTTTCTCTTTCACAGTTAACGGCATACTCACGGGCATTGTCTGGCTGCCGTGTAGTGCACCGATGGCTGCCTGAGCTTCAGCGTGAGAGGAGTACTTTACAAACGCACAGCCTGCGGAAAACGAGACAGAGACGAGAAACACTGAGCAAAGAATAAAGACAAGTTAAATATTTAAATAAATAAATGCATAAAACAAAAAACAAAGATCCCCTCCGGGATCACTAACGCTTTGTAAAGACAGCGTTCTCTGATCTGGACACTTGTATTGGATGTCAATAATCTGGCTAAAAAAGCCACTCTGACCCCCATTACCAGCTCAGACGACTTCTGATGGGGCTGAAAATGCCAAAGCAGTCTGGTGTCACTTACTATTGACAAGTGTCGCAGATGAATTCGGATGATCAGGTTGCCAGTAGTTATTGAGCCCACTTGGCAGCGTAAGCTGATGAAGCTTTGTTAATGGAGCTTCACGGAGGAATCAGAACGATCAAGCACACTGTAATCATCGGGTTTAGTTATCATCGGGCCTCATTGATTGGCTGCTAAGCCCTCTGATGAACTTCATGTGGTGAACTTGCGTAACACCCTGACAGCATTTTGAATAGATTTTTTTATTTTATTTCCTGCCCAAAACACGAGGCCTGGCGGTTAATAAGGAGATCTGGTTTTTCTTCTTCTGTCGGAACTCAGAAGTAGACTCACGAGGTTAATGGGGTTCAGTTTATTCGTCTCAACTTCTGGGGAAAAGCTTTCCGTGACATGCTCTGATAAAATTCACAGAAGCAACTGTGCGTTTGTAACAGCTCCTCTGACGGTTGTGAAGGAACTTGCTTTATCACTTAACATGAAAAGTTAGAAAAAGAAACAGTCACCCACGTCAAAAGGCCGAGTTACTAGTTTAGCGTCCTGAAAGAGTGACGAGCAGCTGCAGTCTCACCTTTGCTGTTTCCGTCAGGACCTCTGAGGATGGTGCATTCCTCGATGTTGCCGAAGGACTCGAAAAGGCGCCGCACGTCGTCTTCTGACTGCTGCTTGTTGAGCATGCCCACAAAGAGCTTTCTGTCTTCTAAAAGAAGAAGGAGGTCATGATGACGGGGGTCACAGATGCCTTCAGAAGGAAGCAAATGCGCTCAGGCATGTAAACCAATTGCAGAACATAGAACTGATCAGTTTTCTTACTGAAAATAATGCACCATGACGTTCGATATGGACTTTGCATTAACTCGTGCCGAAAACACATTTTCCAGAGTTATAATCCTGTGGAGCAGTTTTGTGTGAACAGTATCTTGCATGCGATAGACAGAAAACTGATTTCATTACAGAGAATCATGGAGAAATGTTCATGTAGGAAACCTCAAAATCTCAACTGCAGTTCGTCATTACGTTATGAGTGTTTGGCACACAAAAGTCACAGTTTGGTACCTTTTTGGTATGGTTACATTGAAAGAAATAAACAAATGCTGAAAGCATTCATGCAAGTACATGCAGCACATGTTTTGTACGTTGTAGCTTCATGTTGGTCACATATAAAGCTCATGTGGAGCCTGATGAGAGGGAACTTACTGGCACGGTCTATTCCAAGGTTATCATGTTAATGTGTTGTATACAGTGTATGGTTTTATTACGTTCATAGAGGAGCTGTCTGAATGCTACAGGCAGCTGGGTTTAGAGTTTTGGTTTTTCTTTGCACCACTTACACTTACATCCGAGTGATGCCAAGTGAATAATTAAGTTTAACGAGGAGCCAGCTACGTCACATCGCTGTTAAACAATGATGTAAAGGTCGGTCCACCTCTTTTTCATCTGCCGTCTGTGTAGCTGACCATCCATCCATCCGTCCGTCCGTCCATCCATTATCTTCAAACACTTCTTCCTTTTCAGATCGGTACCCATATCCAGCAGTCATTGTGCGAGAGTCGGGGCACACTCTGGACAGGTCGGGGGTACCTCGAGCTCTGGTTTACCTGCGTGCTTCATGCTCAGTTGTTGCGGTGTCTCTTCATGTGCCACTTTTTAAAAGTTGTGTTGCAGGACGTAGGGTTAGGCAAATAAACGCTCTGCATGTAGGTTTCAAACAACGTTGCATTCATTCGTATTTAGGAACATCTGTGTAAATAACCATCAAATGCACCAATGAGGGTGGCACAGTGGTGCATCGGTAGAGCTGTTGCCTCTCAGTGAGAAGGTCGTCGGATCGAATCCCAACCTTTCTGGGTGGAGTTTGCATGTTCTGTCCGTGCATGTATGGGTTTTCCTCCCACAGACCAAAAACCTGCATGTTAGTCTGATTGGTAACTCTAAATTGTCTCTAGGTGTGAGTGAGAGAGTGATTGATTGTTTGTCTCATTTGTCTCTGTGTGTCTCTGTGATGGACTGGAGACCTGTCCAGGGTGTCCCCCGCCTCTCGCACAGTGATAGCTGGACATGGGCACCAGTGACCCCACAACCCAAAAGGGAAGAAGCAGGTAATATCTTTGGATGGATGCAGAAATGATAGGGTGTAAAAGTTGATAATAGAACATTCACGTTAACCTGTTTGACATTTTTTTTACATCTAAGTCGATGTAGATAGCTAAGATTTGCTCCATAATTGGTCTCAGTTTCTCTAATTCTACTGCAGGTGAAATAACAGACTGGAATCCATAGAAACCCACTTAAAATTACTCCATTTCTCTTATACTTCACATATATTCACTCTGAGCTTACTGTTGTAGAGCAGCCCTGTGCTTAAAGAGACCGATATGAAAGGCTACACTTCTTCAAAGTGGAGGAATGCTGCTGTTATTCAATTATTTCTGGACTTCATTTTAAGCATTTTGCTTTTATATGTTCTGGACTGCTCGCCTGTAATAAAGCCCTGACAAAAACAGGTAGTTCATATCCTCCTCCTTTTTTTTTTTTTATTGTGAAAGATATTGGGATCTGGTTAAGTGAAAAATCCTTCTGCTGGTTCCACAGCAAATCATTTTACTACAATAATAAATCCTCAAATAAAAAAAAGGATAAAATACTCTGCTGAAAGGTGGATGTGTTTTTTTGGACAGGGAAGACTGTTTCACGCCAACAACTGGAAATAATCTGGGTTTATATCTTCTGTTCAGAGAATAAGAATACAATATGTTGGAGTTTTTATCTTGCACATAACGTCCAAGTAAATGATTCAGCAGAGAGGTAACTTTTTTGCCTGACACAGACACACAGAGAAAACACGGTGTGATAGAAACTGAAAATGGTTTCTGTGACAGTTCATGTGTCTAACTTTTCACACCAATCTGACATTTTTTCCTTAGAATCAGAAGAACAGACTTCCCGAAGATGAGAAATTGTTCCTGTCAGACAGGAGGCAAGACAGGAGCGTTGCTTGTCCTCGGGTCACAGTCGGGACTCGGTAAAATTGGATTCGATTTCCAAAGTGTTTTTTCTGTTTCAATGGATCCTCATTTATCAAAAACTGCATGTTTACCATCATTATTATTAGGGATGCACGATATTGGATTTTTGGCCGATATTCGATATGCCAATATGTTAAAACTTATTTGACCGATACCAATACTAATATTTTTTCCTAGATCTACTTACAGAGACTACACAGCTTTCTCTGCTGTGGAATTAAAATACTACATTATTCTACATGGTCTTTGTCCGTTTGGCCTGTTACCAAATGCAGGTGCCAAAAGGGGCTGAAAATGATGCAACACTTCAACTTGGATTATGTTTAATGTCAAATTTATTCATGACATTTACTCTCTAACACAGTGACAACACTCGAACAGTGCAAATTTATAAATGTTCACAAATCTAAGCTCAACCTGTTCACAAGCAACAAGTGAAAAGCACATAAGTAGTAGTGCATTAGTAGATATACTTGACAGTCTCGTACATTAAAAATCAATTTAAAAGAGAAGCCTTTTATATTGGTAAGTTATTTTGATGGAATGACCGATGTCAATCTAACTTTATCACTAAAATCGGCCGATACCGATACCATGCCGATAATATTGTGCATCTCTAATTATTATTATTAGTATTATTATTATTATTATCAAATGCGCATCAACTAAACAAGCTGTTAGTGATGGATACCCTATTTTTTGGCCTATAAGGAGCACTTAAAACCCTTTAATTTTCTCAAAAATTGACAGTGAGACGTATAATCAGGTGTACCTTATGTATTCATTCTGGTTGTTCTTACTGACCTCGAACCGATTTTATGTGGTTATTGTGAATGAGTTGAATAATATTTGACTTATGTGATTGTTTTGTTTCGCTTAATGCGCCTTATAATCCGGTGCGCCTTATAGACCAAAAAATACGGTACATTTATTCAAGGTCGAGAAAGAAGGCAATACTTCACACCAGTTTTATAAAAGCAACTAAAGCTACTATAAAAATATTTTTTAAGTAATTTGTGGTAAAACATATAAAAATTAAATATTTTAATATCATGCATGTTTTATACATTTTTTTTGTCTAGAAAAGAAATAATCAAAGATGTCGTGTCAACCATCATAAAAACCAAAGATGCATTATTTCCCCCAGTTCTTTTTAAAGACAATTACTCATGCTGTCTTAGAGTAACAGGGCGATAAAGTCTAATACAAATTGCCCTTAATAAAATATGTGTGAGTTAAAGTTCAGCACAGGTCATTAGGGGCAGCTCGTACCAGTACAGAGTCACTGAATCAGTCTGAGGGGAGTCGCAGGAATGTGTGTTGGAGCCACGGCTGCTTTCTTTCCTTACATTACATAAAGTTTGAGATTTGTGGAAATGGATGTATACGTTTGGAAATTAATGATCCTCAGAGCAATTGCCTGTAAATGTGCTCTGCAAATTAATGTGTGTGTAGATGTGTGGGTGCGTCAGTGTGTGTGTGTGCTGAGGGTCCGTTCCCCACCGCCTGTGCTTAACAGGGTGTCCTTGCCGAGTCAACAAGACTAATCGGTGCTCTGGCCTTGCACTGGGATGGGGGTAGTGGGTTTGGTTTTACGAGTGTTTACAGGAGTGGGAAACACACGGAGGACACACACTCACTCACACACTTGCAAAACTTGTGCACAAATCTTAAAAGGTTTGCATCGTCAACATCTTCTTTGATGCGAACGCGTTCACGATTGCACACGTCACCACAGGCCGATGCTTACAGCTCTTCAGGAAGAGTGTGGACATCATGAGAAGCTCTCCCATAAACACACACACACCAACACACACCAACACTCACACAAAGACAATAAATCTCCCAGATCTCCCTCTGCTGCTGCGTTCAGTAGGTGAACGGACTGGAGCCGAACAAACATATTTCGAGTGTTTCAGATCTCATTGTTCACTGGATTCCTTTTTATTGTCAGTTTTAAGGATTTTCTTTACTAAAATGATTTGTCGAACAACGTTAGAAACTTAGCAAAGCTTGACTTGATTCACGTATTCCTCTTAATTTAAATGCAACCTTATTTCACTGAATAGATGGTAAACTCTTTCCAATACATCCAACAAAGTTCAGTCAGGTCATCTGGACGGTTTCTTTTTTTTTGTTGAGATGTTTCGTCTAATGGTGTAGTCTACGCGATACTCGAGTATATGGAGTATACTTACTAGAAAAGCTTAAGACCCACTTAAAAGTGCCCAATGATACGTAACATATCATTAGGTACGTGTCATTGATACGTTAAATGGCAGTTAAATGCTTCCATAACAATCTATCAGTATGCAGCGCTTTGCTTTGATACTGTTTTATACATTATAAACATGTTAATGTAAAGCCAACTGTTGTACAAAGTTTGTTGTTCATTTATTCAACTACAAGCATCAGAGAAATTTGGAAATCTTCAATATATTTAAAAATCAAAATAAATTGACGACTACATTGTACTAACAGGTGTACTTTGGTTTCTAAGCACAGTATACCCACTACAAAAATGTAAACTACACCACTGGTTTTGTCCCTCATTCAAAGAGACTTCACCAATCCGAGGAGCCTTTGGACCAGTTTGAATCATTTTGGCTACTTCAGAGAAGTTGATGGGGGAAGGGCGGGCCCCAGAAAACATCTTATCACCAGCAAACTGGTTGGTTCACTATGTGAGTGTGCTGCTTGTGAGACTGAGTTTGTTGTGGCTCCTCAGATTGACAAAGTCCTTTGGATGAGGGACAAAACATCTCAACAAGAAAAGAAACTGTCCAGAGGACCTGACTGAACTTTATTGGATTTTCTACTTGGATTATTGAGCATGAACTTTGTCTTTCTGTAATGGTCAGCGGTCCTCTGCTGACACCTCATATGCTCACACTTCTCCGTACACGTCGCACTGCCGTATAAGTGGCATCAGTCCAAATATGTGGAATAAAGTGCAGAATAAAGTGGAAAAAACATAAATAAGTCGCTTAACCATATAAGTCGCAGGGCATGCTAATTTATACAAAAAAACTGAGACTTATGCAGCAAAAATGACGGTATTCTGAGTGCTTACTGCTCACATGAGACTCGTCTTTATACTTTGCTCTTAATGATTAAAATGAACAAAGTCTCTCGTGAACCACTGAACAGCTGTTAATGAAACTTTCAGAAGGTTGGTTGACATCTACATCTGGTTAACTTTTGGACTCAATCCAATCCAGTGTGGCTGCGGCAGCCAGCTGATATTAGAAAACAAACAAATGACTATAACTCATCCAGTTTTACAGATGTTGGGTTAAACTTTGGTGCAGCTGAGTAGTGTTCTGAACAAGTACTTTAAGAGCATCACATTTTCGCTCAAAACTTTGGTATTAACTATTAAAGTCAACCATGTTTGTCACAAAAACAAATACATTTCAGTGAGTTTTACAAACATTGAGCAAAAATCAGGCGTGCTGGTAGTTCACAGTATTTAACAGTACATACTTTAAGCACTAACTGAGGTATTTCAATATAGAATAAAATGGCACATAATTTTTTTAGGGTTTAATCCAAATGGCTACAACTCAACAGGTCATATGCATCCCTTCAAGGAATGCTAAGCTTTTTATTCAGTTTTAAGAAGAGTAATCCTCAAACACAGAGAAAGATAGACCTCCAGCACAGATGCATGTCTTGCACAGCTCGTATTTTTCTTCCCCACACTCAGTGCACGCTCCGGTTTTCTTCTGCTCCATCAATCACCCTCTGAAAAGCAACAGACTAAACAGAGGAGGATGTTGCACAGCCTCACTTTCTTTCTTTAAAGGTTATTTTCTTTACAGGGTAACACTTTTCCCTCCCCATGCGTCTGCTGCTTATCAACCTTTAGCCACTTGCATGTTCTCTTCTGACTCTTTTCATTCTCTTTTTTCCCTCGTTCTTGTGACTAGAATTGATTCCAATTATATTAAAAGCTGAAAAGTCTGAATCGCTCTGGACCAAAATGCTCAAACTGCTTCAGTCTTATCTTGTGCAGCCCATTGATTGATGTCAGGAGCAGGTCACTTCAAGTCTAGACACAGAAAATTTCCTTGAAGCAATCTTGGCTGTCAATAAAATGCGACACGCAAACACCAACACAAAACTACATCTACTTTTATTCACACAGGGCTGTCGTTTATTCGGTCTCTTATTTGGTTGATGTAAATGTGTGACATGAGTCAAGTCCGATTTGCTTTGCTGCAAACAGCTTTTTACAGGTGTTCGATGGAAGAGGGGACTCGTTTTCCCTTCGAGAGTGACAAGGCATTTCTGTGTGCGTGTACTGGAATGTGTGTGTGTGTGTGTGTGCGTGCATCAGTGCATATGATGAAACTCAAACATGGGAGCTGCAGGCGGAGCTGGCCAGAAAAGAGCTCTGTTTACATAATGTGTTCTGAATACTGGAGGGTCCGGCCAGGCTGAGCTGTCAGCCTGCGTCGAGGTGCTTTGCATGGCGGAGCAGGACAGATAATAGTGAGGCTGATGTATGCAGGCAGCAGGGATGCAGGGGCTGGGACAAAGAGAGGCAGATGAAGGAATGAAGCAACATACAGTACCTCCTCGACTCTCACTGTCTGCTGGCTTCACCTGGATCGGTCTATTCATCTGTGGCAGAAAGAGCAGGACAGAAAGAGGGAAAAGAGAGACAAAGAGACCAGTTAGCATCATGTAGCAGTGCATGCTTCTACCCTCCTAGAAAACGTTTCTTTTTAGACTCACTCTGACAAATTACAGTTAAAGTGTATTGAAACTCTCCAAAGCTGTAGCACTTATGGCCAATGGGGGAATGGCTGGTTTGGAAATATTATTTGATCTGAGATGAAAGCGGAGAGAAGCAGAGGGAGGGAGAAAAAAGCGAGAGAGGGAGGATAGAAAAGAGGTAACCGTGGATCAGCAGAGCTGCATGTGTGCATGCACCAAAAGAGTTCTGTGCACGTGGACTTTCGGTTGTGGATTTGCGCACGCGTGCACAAACACCCACACACACAATGCAACATACAAATAGCATGAACTCATCGTGCGTTAGCTCTTCAGCTCCTCTCTGCAAATCTTTCTTGTCGATCCACAACACCAGTGCACGCACACAAACACGCGCACGAGCACATGCCCCCCTCATACACACACTGTCCCCCCACTGAGACCTTTCCGCACTGTGTCCGCTGAGGCTCTCCTTTCATTTCAGTCCTGCCTGTCAAAATCTCCCTCTCTGCCTCGCCACCCTGCTAAACGCTCTCCGCCAATCAATTTTTAATAATGCCAATTGCCACGCAGCCAGGAGGAGTGGAAGGGGACGAGAGGATGGAGAAAGCGAAGGATGAAAGGTAAAATGAAAAAGACCGGGCTCCTCCGTGCGATGCAGAATCTGTGTTTTGCAGAAATACTGTTAAATATTGTCCCTTCAGTTTCCTGACAGAGCGGTCATCTTTTAGAATCTGCGGGGCTCTTGGGCGACGGGACAAAGGCCTCAAAACTTTTGTGCACGAGGTCGCAATTTAACGCTCGAACCTTCACCTCTCTCTGACGCTTTTCCACCACTCATATTAAATCCCATCACTCTGCACAGCGCTTATTTAAAAGGCTCACTTCTCTCCCTCGTCTCCTCCCTCTCTCTGACAGCCAAGAGAACCCTACTAATGTTTTTAATGTGCTGTGATGCATTATTTATCAGACTGACTGTTGATATCAAAAAAGGACGAGTGGGGATTAAGAAAACAGTGAAAAACCAGTTAAAGTTGGTGGAAAAAAGTGAACGGGTAAACCCAAAAGGACGGGTTTTCCAAAAAATAAAGTAAAAGATGAAGGTGGTGTGTGTTGGAGGCAGGTGTTTAAGGGGAGAGGAATGGGGTGATAAAAAGGGAAGGAGAGACTGGAGGAGAAGGAACGAGGAAAAGAGGGCATAGGGGGAGATGAGGACATAGATCAGAGTGTGGTACAAGGTCAGCTCAGGGCTCCCGGGGGGCCTATAAACCTGCATACATATGAGCACTTTTACCATGACCCATACAAATGGTATGGCCTCAGCCTGACCTAATTGTGTTCCTTCGCTCTTGGTTTTATTTGCAACTGCAGGTTTGAGCCTGCAGTAAATCGCGGAGCCAAATCCCCTCGGCTTCAATTGTTACTGAGCTGAGATCATTCGAAGACATAGAGAAAAGAAAACAAGATAAAAATCAAACATTATGATGGTAGCTCAGGTCTTCGTCCATAATTTATAAAAACTCAAACATCCTTTCATTTTCGTCACTGCCAGTTGAGCACCCCAAACCGTCCACTAATAAACCTTTAAACGCCGCTCAAAATGAAGTGATGTGGTTAAACCATTATTTTCTTTCGTCACTGGAACCTGAGTGCAGTTTCATGGGCTCGCTATCAGCGGCTTTCCATTATCCACAACCCATAACTGCTTCAAGGTCAGTTTTATCATCCTGCTCATAATTGGGTGAGTTAGCACCAGTCCAGCGGACAGCCGATCCCAGAACAGTTGTTAAAAGCAGACGCAGACTTGTTCCGATAGCTCCCCTAGGATTGTCTGTGGTGGTGCGAGCCAAAGCCAGATGGCAGCGTTGAGCTGGAGAGAGGCCCTGTGGTCCAATGTGGAAGAAAGTCTCATGGACACAAAATGCACCGAGGCGCGTGCATTCACACTTAAACGTAAACACAAATGCAAAACAGCGCCAGGTGAGCTGACATAACCAGACGTGGCTGCGTTAACACATAAGACAGGCACAAAGACAAACATACAGCAACACAAACAGGCCTGCAGAAGGCAAGGCATGGATCCACAAGAGGAAACACACACACACACACACACACACACACACACACTGCAAATGCAAATGAAGCCGTGAGTTTCAAAACATGCACCGCTGTAGTGGATTCACTTTGTAGCAGAAACCCTAACCCTTGCCTACTTTTTCACCCTAACATTGCAAATCCGGTCAGCTTTCCATCCCCGAGGACTTCCTACGTGGAGAAAGTCCAGCACAGCTGTCCTGTTTTACAGTGGCTTTGGCCCGAACACACAATCGTGAGCTCAAGAAGAACAGCAGCCACACACACACACACCCCTCCGTTGATTATATAACTCGGTGACAGCGCTCGCTCTGCCTCGGCGCTGCCACACATCCACTGTTAACTAGAGGCTGAGGGATTACATGGTCTGCATACAGTTCGTGGTGAGTCATTCCTTTGAATCGGTCTGGTACAGCCCGAGAGTCTTGCAAGGCCCACGAGTCTACAGTTCGCCTTATCAGATTTAACCTTGATGTGGGACAAAAGTGCAGCCTTTGATGCTGCTTATTGTATCGATTCCGCTGCACGAAAGCTCCAAAAATTAAGTTATGAAAACATCGTTACGGTGACAACTCTATGGGATTTCAGCCCGATGAATTTCTCTACACAGCCTTGTTATGTCGAGCGCACTTCAAACACGGTTTATCGAGGCAGTCCCAGCGTTTTCGAGCCTCTCGCACACACAGAGTAACACGTGCACACGCAGGCAGGGTAACGCTCACAAGGACACAAAAGTCCACACTCACTCAAACTCCCATCGTTCTCCGAGAAAAGGAATATTGAAAGTGTGCTTTACGAAACTCGAGAGAGGAGGTAGGATTTTCTCATTTTCGCCCTCGTCTCGCAGATGTGTTTTTGAGAGAGAGAGCGGAGCAGTGCAGGCCAGGTCATTTCATTATCAGAGTGAGAAAGCACTCCATGAAACTCTCCCAGGGAAGCGAGGAAGGCTGCTCATAATATTTCTCCTCGGCTATTGTCAAAACGCTCTCTGTTTTTACATTCTGCAGCTAAAATGCTGTTTTAAAAAACAGGCCAAATTGGCTTGATTGTATCCCACCCAGTCTGAATGTGGAGATCTTTGAGCCTTTATGGTTTTTGTTCATGCATATATTCACAGGTTTTCAAGTCGAGGAAAGCAAATATCTAAAAATGAGCTCCTTCAAAGTAAGGTTTGAGGATTTTTTTAATTTTTTGGCTTGGGCAATAAATGTTTTGGTCCAAGTGTAACAAAATTCTGGTTCTCATGACAAATGAACCACTGCCGGTCAACCTCGAGCTGCTGCCCAACCCGTCTCAGCCTGACTAAAACTCATTTGATGTTGGAGACGTGTCAGTAGAAACATGAAATAAACAAAAGATGGTTCTAAACCTGAGATGCTTTTTGTAAAACTGGGCTTTTCTGCAAAGAAAGAAAAAGAAAAATCTCCTGAATGGAAAAAGCAGCCGAGCAACTCCAAATATTCAGGTTCATAAAGAAGATGTGTTTTAAAAGCTTTGATTTTACAATAATTTACACATTATATCGATCAAAGATCCTCTGAATGTGTATTAAAGCTCAGAGAATCCATGCAAAACTTTCCACAGACGTATTCAGAAGCAAAAAGGGAGCTAACATCAATGTCCATCCTGCAAATTATGATGTTCTTTGGTCAGCTCCTTGTCATTTACTGACCGCAGCTGCAAGAAAATGAAAAACTAATTCAGTCAGTAAGTCAGTTAAAACAAGTTTCTATTCTGTGGTTTGGGGAGAGAATAAGCTCAGTTGCTTCGTGCTGTCAGGACATATAAATACAAATTATGGTGTACAGGATAGTTATAGCTAACAAAGACCCTAAAGCTCTAGTTCAGCTCTTTTGAACTGAGGTGTTGTGACATTTTGTTCTGTAGTTATTTCCTTGTGCAAATAGCAGGAACAGTGAGGTGTAGCACCGTCAGAGCAGCCTGGGCTACTTCCTGCAGGAATACAACATTTCTGATGGAATAACAATATAATGTCCAACTGAAGGCAGCTGTACGGTTTGTTTACATAAACTGATTTGAAATGTTTGAGTTTGGAGGGGTTTTCTTACAGCAGTATCTCACCTTGGTGTTGGACTCGTAACTCATCAGTCTGCTCAGAAGTACACCTCTTAAAAATGGGAAATAAAATTATTTCTCTGAACTCTGTTAATTCAAAACACTATCTACAACAGGTAAGATAGTCATTATTCACAAGCTTTCCACAGAGACCCACTTCAAAATACCCTAGCTTTAAGTCTTTCTTTTCACTTTAAGGCAGGTGGCTTCCATGTACACACAAAAACAGCCAGCAGCCCTCTCTGGAAGAAAATAAGTTAGTTAAATCCCTCCCTGGTCTGCTACCTGCTCATATCTCCTCCCACATGTCACGTCATCAGTGCAGTTACAGCGTGCGCTCTCAGGACATCATTACCTGCAGCGTTCCCTCAGTGCAGACTGAACTTGGCAAAAAGGCCTTTTCTTACTCAGCTCCTGCAACTTAGAACACCTTGCAACAGGAACTGAAGTTGTCCTCCTTGATTTCTTTATGGTGTTTCAAACATTTGATAATGTCAATAGAAAAATTAAGGCAAATATGTTCTTGTTTTTAGTACTTCACTCTGTTTTACGGCACCCTGATTTATTGTTTTGTGCACTACTCTTATTTTAACTGCATTTTTACTGTAGTTTATTGTAATCGTTGTCTGCTGTTATTGTCTGTACTTTAAATTCTGTCTGGAACAGGTCTTTTTTTGTAAATGAGTCCTCGTGGCTCAATGAGACTAGCCTGTATAAATAAAGGTTGACTGAAAAAT